GGTTGGTCCCGTGCCGAGGCCGCGTCGCTGGGTCCGGGCGGACGGAGCCGAAGGGCTGCGGGGAACCCGAGGGTTCACCGCCCTGGGACCTGGGGCGCGCTGCGCGGACCCGGAGCCGCCGGCTCGGGTGACAGCGGAAGGGTCTTGGGGTGAGCGGGCCGCGGCCCCAGTGCACAAGCTCGGCCCTTTCCAGTGCCTCCCGCGCCTGGGGGGTGGGGGGCGAGGTGCCCGACTCGGAGTCCAGGCGCTGTCCCCGAAAGCCCCTCCTGCCTCCCGGGGTTGCTTTGTTCCCATTTCCGACGTACGCGTCCGCAGCGTACCGGGCGGGCGCCCGAATGTCACCGTTGGGGCCGCCGTGCACCGAGGTTAAGGGTTTGCGAATTTGGGGTTTTTCCCTCTGACACTGTATTTCGAATAATGCTTGATCTGGAATCCTTTCCTTTGCTTTTATTGGAACGTGATTTGATATATCCACATTGAGGTTCTTCCCTTCTGGGCAACTCGTTATCCTACTGGACGCTTTATTTATTGTTAAAAATTTAACATTCTCCCTTCCAAATTCTCAAAAATATTCATATGATTTTATGGACTTGAAATTCTTTTGTGTATTCTGAGCTCATGGGGTCAGTTGCAATTAAAAATGTTCCTTTTATGTTTGCTCCGTTTAAGCTTGCCTCATTCTTAAGCCTTACAAGTGTAATGAGTTAACTCTCTCAATCATAAGCATTCTTATGGCTGTCATTTTATGCCAGCGTGTCAGATTTATGCCATTTTATGCTAGATCTCTGGGTTCTTTCCTTTTCCACTGAATTTGTTTTCAAAATGACTACCTCTTTCTCCGCCCCCTTTTTTTTCTTTTTTAAATCGAGTAATATGAAATAACGTGGCTTTTTAAATAAACTGATTTTAATGCATTTTTAAAGGAACAATTTCTCCTTGGTTGATGTGTTTTATTTAGTATTATTTATGGGCAGTGGTAAAAATACTAGAGAGATCAGGAATCCAATTGAGTTCTACCAGTATGCTGTATAAAAACAATGTAGTTATATTTTCAAAAGTAAAGAATTGTTTTCATTCTTACCATTAAACTTAATTTGTTAAATTCTAAAAAACATGGACTTTGTGATGTCTGTGGCAGATTATTTCAGTGTTAATAAATCATTCCGGGCTGGGAAGGTGGCTCAGTAGTAGAGTGCTTGCTTTGCATGCATGAGGCCCTGGGTTCGATTCCTCAGCACCACATAAGCAAAAAGAAAAAAGCTGGAAGTGGCGCTGTGGTTCAAGTGGTAGAGTGCTAGCCTTGAGCTGAAGAGCTAAGGGACAGCACCCAGGCCCAGAGTTCAGGCCCTACAACCGCACCCAAAAAATAAATAAAAAATAAATCATTCCCACTTTTTGCAGTTAATAGGGCAGAATAGAAATTTTACATGCTATTATGCATTCCATTTTCTGTAGGGTACAAGTTTTTACAAGTCCTGTCCTTGTTTTACTTGGCATAAAGGAAACTTTCAGAAATATAATCTGCTTTTAATATCTCTGTCAAAGAGCAGACTATAATAAACATGTAGAAGCCTTTGAAGCTGCTTAACAAAACCTTTTATTTGGAAAGGTCACATTAATTTTGTTACACATGCACATAAATGTTCTTTTGTGAAAACCAGCTATATCTTGGTTTGCTCTAGCTGCTATAGCAAAGTATTATCAACTGGGTTGACTTAAAGAATAAAGATTGTCAGAATTACGGGTTTTGGAAGTCCAAGAACAGAGTGTTTTCTGGTGTTTTGTTTTCTTGGCCTGCAGATATATGGTTGGCCTTTTCCTGAGTGTCTTTTATGGTAGATGGAGGGCAAGCTTCCTTATAACTAGCCTCATGATTGTCTCACCCTGTCTAAACTTAGTTATTTGTGATATTAATTGGGGAAGAGAATATGGATATTGAACTCAATGTCTCTTGGTTGACTTAAGCCACACATCCCTATCTCTAAGGCTTCAGCTCTAAATGTCATCACATTGGGGAATTAGGGATTCAGTGTATGAATTTTGGGGAAGAAAGAATCATAGAAATTAAATTTAGCATGCTAGTTGGTTTAAATACTTAATTGGCTATAATGTACTTGAAGAGAAATGAATACTTTTTGGTGATTTAGCTAGGTGTGGTGGTGCACATTTGTAATCCCAGCTACTCCTGAGACAAATACAAGCAGGCAAGTGCTCTACTGACTATATCCCCAGCCTTTTGGTGATATTAAAATTATTTTCCTTTTAATAAAAGTAATAGAATTGAAAAAAGTAATAGGTTAAGTTTGACTTCCTAATAGTTCAAGAGTATATAAATGAAATTTGCAAATTGTGGGCAGGGACAGGAGGAGGAAACTGGAGGAAAGCAAAGGAAAGGGTGACTGTCCAATGTACACATCTGAATTATGAAATGCTAACTCTTCTGTACAACAGCTTTTTTTTTTTTTTTTTTGGTCAGAAGTGGGGCCTGAACTCTGGGCATGGGCACTGCCCCTCAGCTCTTCAGCTCTAGCGCTCTACCACTTGAGCCACAGTGCCTCTTCTGGATTTTTCTGTTTAGGTAGTGCTGAGGAATTGACCCAGGGGCCTCATGCAAGCAACGCAAACACTCTTATCACTGAGCCACCTTCCCAACCCCTGTACAAAACCTTAACAAAACTATATTTTAAAAAGTAAAGCCAGGTGCTGATGGATCATGCCTGTAATCCTAGCTACTCAGGAGGCTGAGATCTGAGCATCATGGTTCAAAGCCAGCCCGGGCAGGAAAGACGATGAGACTCCTATCTCCGATAAAAGGAGGGAGGAGGAGGAGGGGCTGGGAAGGTGGCTCAGTGGTAGAGTGCTTGCCTTGCATGCCTGAGGCCCTGGGTTCGATTCCTAGGCACTACATAAGCAAAAAGAGAAGCCGGAAGTGGTGCTGTGGCTCAAGTGGTAGAGCACTAGCCTTGAGCTGGAGGAGGAGGAAAGGAAGGAAGGAAGGAACGAACGATAGAGAGAAAAAGAAGTGGAGCAGAATTTGATTAGGGCATATTGTATATGTGCCTTGAAATGAAAATTTCCCCTCCCCTTCTGTGGTAGTCCCAGCGCTTGAACTCAGGGCCTGGGCACTGCCCCTGAGCTTCTTTTTGCACTCTTACCATTTGAACATAGTGCTACTTCTGGCCTTTTCTGAGTAGTTTATTGGAGGTAAGAGTTGCATGAATTTTTCTGCCCAGGCTGGCATGAAACCTCCATCCTCAGATCTCAGCCTCCTAATCAGCTAGGATTATAGATGTAAGCCATTAGTGCCTGACAATGAAACCCCTTTGTATCAATAATATATACTAATATAAACATTGCAATTTTCAGCTACCTTATGGCATCTCTTTTGCAAACCTCTATTAAAATATAATCCTGTAAATCTAAACATCAGTGCTTTTTTCTCCTCCCAGTGGATGTGAACATGCACTGAACACTAAAAATTACTCAGCTATTTTTGTTGTTTTGTTTCAAGATTCTTGCCCATCTTCTGCTTTCTTTTGCATATTTTTTGTTTTTGCCTTCATGTGCTAAAAATAGAGCAGCAGAGCCAGGTGGCTCACACCTGTAATCCTAGCTATTCAGAAGGCTGAGATCTGAGGATTGCAGTTCAAAGCAAGCTGGGGCAAGAAAATCCACGAGACTTTATTTCCAATACTACTGGAGAACCAGAAATGGCACTGTGGCTCAAAGTGGTGGAATGCTAGCCTTGAGCAAAAGAGCTCAGGGACAGTGCCCAGTCCCTGAATTCAAGCCCCATGAACAACAACAAGAACAAAAATATAGCAACCTTTTTTTCATTAATAGGCATTTTATGTGACATAGTGAATGTGTCGGCTATAGGTAACTTTAATTCTCTTAGTTAGTAAAGAATATATAGTAGTCTTCCCTTATTTATGGGAATACATTCCCAGAGCCCCAGTAGTTGTCTGAAACACACTGTTATTGTTGTTTCCCTATACCTACATGCCTACATAAAATTTAACTTAGTACTAATAAAATAGAATGTTGTAGTATGTGAATATGGCCTCTATTCATCTTTTTCAAAATATCTTGTGCTATATTCACATCACAAAGTTCATGTTGACCTTGGGTAACTAAAACCTCAGAAAACAAAAGTGGGTAAGGTGGGACTACTGTGGATGAATCTTCTGTAATCTGGTTATTTTAGAGCCTTTTAAAATCAGTGAAATAATATGAGATCAAGGATTGTTTTTATAAAACGTTTCAATAACCTTTTCTTTTGAAAAATGCAAAAATTTTTGTTTACTTTTCAAGAAACAGATTGATAATAAGCCACCAGTAAATGATACTTTGAATTTTTTTCCATTTTAAAATCCCAAAAGTCTAGTATTAGAACTCATTAATAAAATCTTTAGCATCATTGGCTGAAATTAAAGGAAAATTTAGGATGTTTGCTTAAAAGCCTAGTTATACCATAATGAGGTTAAAATATTCAAGTTGCCTGAAATATCTCTGGGTTGTGGTGGGGGTTGAGAAGAAATTTCCCTTTGTAAATAAAGCATTAGAAGTAGCGAAGACAGATGAAATTTTCTCCACCAGAACTCAATAAGAGATGAAAATCAACTGGTCAATTGAATTAGTGTTTGTGCATCAGGATTTCAAAGCCAGATGTACAATTTTTTTATCTAACACTCTGTTAATTCTGTATATAAATTGATAATTCATGTATATGACAAAAACCTAAATTCAGTTTATTAGGTTCTAATAGCTGGAAGAATATGCTTAATGGATTATCAAAGGATCTATTGAATAAGAGCATTTTGCTTCTCTATTTTGGATAACATTAGTTAAAACAGTTTCGCATTACTATAGATCCCCTTATGATATGTTTAGATGTAAAGGAAATGAATTAGTACCTCCAGTTTGGTTTCTATGAGGATGTGAAATTTAAAAAATGACATTTACTTTGGGCAGGTTTTATACTATTAAGACATACACTATTTATATTTACCAGCATCATGGATTGAAGGGATTTCATCACATTTTTTTGTTTTGTTTTGTTTTGTTTTTTGGTTGATCTTGGGGCTTGAACTCTGGACTGGGTGCTGTCCCTCAGCTCTTCAGCTCAAGGCAAGCACTCTACCACTTGAGCTACGGTGCCACTTCTGTCATCACATTTTTAATACAGCAAGCAGTTAGCCATGCATGCCCTTTTAATAGGATTCATTTGCTTCTAAAAGTAAATTAAGGATCTGTGTTCAGTTTTTTTTTTGGGGGGGGGTCTGGTAGTGGGGCCTGAACTCTGGGCCTGGGCACTGTCCCTCAGCTCTTCAGCTCAAGGCTAGCGCTCTGCCACTTGAGCCACAATGCCACTTCCGGCTTTTTTTTTTTTTTTGCTTATGTGGTGCTGAGGAATTGAACCCAGGGCCTCATGTATGCAAGGCAAACGCTCTACCACTGAGCCACCTTCCCAGCCCTTCTGTTCAGTGTTTTTATACAAAGAAAAGAACTCTCTTGCCACAATTTCAACTTAGCTTAATTAGGTGGGATATATTCTAGAATATGAAGAGTCCTATAAATAGGTGGATTGAAAAAACTTCATAATTTGACTTCAACAGAGCTGACAGAATTTATCTTGTGAAGAGAATTACAGCTACATTACTGATTATTCTGAGAGTACTTTTAAGATTAATATCTGACTTTTGATGAAATGTGTTGATTTAAAGGTTAACTTTAATATTAAATGATTACGGAGGAAACTCCAAAAATATTTTTCAAAGATTTTTAACATTTGTCTTAAAAAATATTGATGATGATGGTGGGTGCTTTCAATATTTTTGATATTTAGGCTCAAGGCCAGACTGTGCAGAAAAGTCTGTGAGAATCCTTCAAAACAACAAAAAACAGCGCTGGAGGAATAGTTCAAGTGTAATAGTTCAAGTGATAGAGCACCAAGCAAGCAAGCAAGCAAGCTGAGTGAGCTTGAGGCCCTGAGTTTAAATCCCAGTACTGACAAAGAAGTGATAGGTATAAGGTAGAAGAAAGGACCTTAACTCTTTCTCTTTTTCTCTTTCTTTTCTTCCTTTCTTTTTTGGTCATAAATAATGTCAGGATCTTCTCTCAGAACCCTGACCTATTTTTGGTTATCTCCACTTTATCACTAATGGTTAGCTAAGGCTTGAGTCTTGCTTTTCCTGTAGATAAAACATCTCATGTATTTTCTCTATTTCCATTCTCTTCCACTTGAGCCCTCATGATGTGCTAGGATTACTTAGCACCTTAGCTGCTCTCCCTTTTCCAATTTATTCTATAACATAAACTGTTATAAAACAGTATTTTAAGAAAGACATTTTTTCCTATGTACTTTCCCTGCCCCTGATCCTATTAAGGTTTTCTATTTTCACTCACATCTGTACATGTTTATCTTGCATTAAACTGCTTAGGATATCAATATAATAAGGTATTAAGATACACTGTAACACTAGGAAAATGTTTCTCTCAAATAATTTGTTTTAAAAAGGTATGGTTTAAGTAAATCTATGGTTACTACTTCAAGTCATTTATTCACTTGAAGAGATTACATAAACACTGAGAAATTTAACAATAGAAAAACACTAATATAGTTTCTGTTTTTTCCCCGCAGGTTCCTGTTGCATGTAAATCATGTCCCTGTGGTTACATATTTATTAGCAGAAAACTTTTAAATGCCAAGCACTCAGAGAAATTGCCACCTTCTACAGGTAATTGTGAAAGTTTAACAACACATCTTTAGTTTTTGTATAATTTTTTCCCTGTTTTTTTTTTTCCTGGCTACTTGTCCAGTGGCTTGAACTCAAGGCTTAGCCCTGTTGTGTGTGTTCAAGGCTAGTGCTCTATCACTTGCCACAGCTCTACTTCTGGCTTTTTGGAAGTTATTGGAAATGAGTCTCAGGGCTACTTTCCTGCCAGAACTGACTTTAAACTGCAATCCTCAGATCTCAGCTTCCTTCGTAGTTAGAATTACAGGCCAGAGCTACCAGCCCCTGACTGTTTTTTTCCTTTTTATGCTTTCTGATGTAGGGGGAGTTGAACCCAAACCAGGGCCTTCCTCACAGTAGGCCAGGTAAGAATAGCTCTTGAGTTATGCCCCCCAAGCCCCCTTTTAGCTTTTTTTCTTCGGTCATGGGGCTTAAACTCAGGGACTTGGTGCTATCTCTGAGCCACTTCTGGTTAAATATTGATAACACAGACATTCTTGTTAGTTGGCTTCATATTATCATCCTCAGATCTTAATCTCCTGACTAGCTAGAATTGTAGACAATACCATTGGCACCCAGCTAATACATTTTGTTGCTGGTGGTGGTGGTCATGGGACTTGAACTCTGGGCCTGGATGCTGTCCCTGAGCTCTTCAGCTCAAGGCTAGTGCTCTACCACTTGAGCCATAGCACCACTTCCAGATTTCTGGTGGTTAATTGTAGATAAGAGTTTCACAGACATTCCTGCCTGGGCTGGCTTTGAACTGTGATCCTCAGATCTCAGCCTCCTGAGTAGCTAGGATTACAGGTGTGAACTACCAATGCACAGCCAGCTAATATGTTTTATTTTATTATTTTCCTCTTACAAAAATTTACAACTTGAAGTGTTTTTTAATGGAAAAATGTAACTTAGTTTTATATGAATTCAATTTTTATGACTCCCTGCTTGAGAATATCTAAGAATATTTTGTTTGAGCTTGTTGCTTTTCTTAAATTAGTTATATAGAGATTTCATTGTAAAATTTCCTCAAAAGTTTACAATGTATTCCAGACAATCTCACCCCCTCCACCATTCTCTTTTCCCCCTTCCAAAAATATTTCAAAAGGTGTCCTTTTATTTTCATAGTTTCAATCTATTTTGACCATATTTATCTAGTTGCTTTTCTCTTAATGTAGACAAATTGGATTTATTCAACAGGTATACTTATTAAAAAATAAAATTTTGTTACTTTTTTTTATAAAATCAATTTCATATAGTGGGCTCAAAATAAAAATTGATTGTAAATACATATTGACTACTTGCTATATGCTAGGCACTGTTCTAAACCTTGAATATAAAGCAATGAGACTATTATGAAACCAGATTCATTGCTTTCATATCGCTTATGAACAGATAAACAGGAAAAAATAATTACATTGTGATAAGTACTTGGTAAGAAATTGAAACTGGTTATTGTCCTAGCATGGAAGACTACTTTTGATTAGAAGGCCTCTCAGAAGAGGTGATATTTAAACTGAGCCAAAAAATGAAGAAAAGATAGACATAATAAAATCAAGGAGGGGCTGGGAATGTAGCTCAGTGGTAGAGTGCTTGCCTAGCATGCATGAAGCCCGGGGCTCGATTCCTTAGAACCACATAAACAGAAAAAGCTGTAAGTAGTGCTGTGGCTCAAGTGGTAAAGTGCTAGCCCTGAGCAAAAGAAGCTCAGGGACAGTGCCCAGGCCCTGAGTTCAAGCCCCATTACTGGGGGGAAAAAAAGGAAAAAATATGGTTAACAGATGAAAATAGTAAATGTTAGAGATGTAAGGCAGGAGCTCTATCACTTCAGTTACTCTATCATACCCTTTTGTGTTGGCTCTTTTCAAGAAAGAGTCTTGATTTACTCCCAAGCATTTGTTTGTCCTGGTATGCCAACTGTATACTACTGTGCCCAGCCATTGTGCTTACCCCACAGCTTGGGATGACAGATGTACCCAGTCATTGATTTAGATGGAGTCTCAAGCACTTTTATACTCAGGCTAACCCCAAACTGATCCTTTGATCACTACCTTCTAAGTAGCTGGGATTATCAACTGAGCCAGTATACCTAAGTTTCTTGTATATTGAGCTGGTTGTGACCTATATATAGGAGTACTATATCCTAGTACTCCTCATTTTTTGCTTTTTGGTAATAGCCATTCTAATATGGGGTAAGATGAGACCTCCATATATATGCATATATAGATATGCATATATATTTTTCGTTTATATGTTTATCTACATATACATAATTATATATGTTTATATACATATATATATGTTGCTGATGGTTAGTTTATTGAATATTTCCATATACTTATTAGACATTTGTATATTTTCCTTTGAGAAATGTCTATTCAGACCATTCACCTGTTTAAAAAATTAGACTATTTTCTTGCTGTTGGATTTTTTTATGCATTTTCAGTATCTTGTTCAGTAGTTTGGAAATATTGTATTACATTCTTTGAGTTGTGTAGTCAATTGTTGTTTTACTTTTCTGTGCATCTGTATCTTAGTTTGATAAAATTCTATTTGTCTATTTTGCTTTTGTTGACTACATTTTGGGGTCTTACCAGCTACTCAGGAGGCAGAGATTGATAGGGTTGTGGTTTGGGACCATTCTGGGCAAAAAGTTACCCAGACCCATCTCAACAAAATAAGCCAGGTGTGGTGGTACATGCCTATCATCTCAGCTACACAGGAGGCATAGGTAAGAGGATCTCAGTCCCAGCTTGCTCCCTGTTGTGGCACAGGCAAAAAGCAGGACCCTATTTGAAAAATAACCTAAAGCAGAGATTGTTAGAGATAGCTCAAGTGGTAGAGTGAATTCTTAGTCCTCTAGTATTCCAATAAAGAAAACAGAAAAACAAACTAAAATTATTAAAGAATTTTAAATTGTTATTATCAAGATGATGTATTGAGCAGTTTCAGTTACATAAGTTAGGTAATGAGTACTTTTTTTTTGGACAATGTCATCCCTTCCCTGGTTCTTTCCTTCCTTTTGCCTTTCACAAATCGTATAGTTCATTTTCAACATAGTATCTAGTGACATGAATATCTTAAAATGTTTCTCCTATTGCTTGCTTCTAGTATTTTTAGTTTCAGGTATATTAATCATTTTGAGAATTAGGAATATATGTACTTTTCCTAGCACCGCTCATTGATGACACTTCTTTCTACCACTCATGCTTTTTCCTTTTGACACCTCTGTTGAAAAGCAGTTGCTTTAAAATAAAGTATGGTTATGTCTCCAAATTTGTTCCTTTTCCTCAGAATTGCTTTGGCTAGTCAGGCTGTTTTGTGGCTCCATATGAATTTCATAATTTTTTTAATTGTGAAAATACTGTACAGAGGGGTTACAATTACATGGGCAAGATAATGATACATTTCTTTTCAAGCATTGTAGCCTCCTCCTTTGTTTTCCCTTCCCATCCCTTCCCATCCTCCCCCTCCCCCTGCTCCCCCACCCTGAATTTCATAATTTTTTATGTTGTCAAGAATGTAATTAATTAGTGCTGGACCTGGGGCTTGACTCAGGGCCTGGTGCTGTCCCTGAGCTTTTTTGCTCAAGGCTAGCACTCTGCCACTTGAGCTAGACCTCCACTTTTGGTCTTTTGGGGATAGTTTATTAGAGAAAAGAGAGTCACAGACTTTCCTGCCCAGGTTCTTCAAACTGCTATCCTCAGATCTCAGCCTCTTGAGCTAGGATAACAGGCAGGAGCCACCAGTGCTCAGTGCCATTGGTATTTTGACGAGGATTGCACTGGATGTGTAGATCACTCTGGGTGATATGGATATTTTAATAATATTAACAAAATTAATTAATATTAACCATATCTCCAAATCTGTGAATGTGGGATGTCTTTTCACTTTTTGTGTGTCCTCTTCAATTTTTTTGAAATACTACTATTTTTACTATAGAGCTTGGGCTTGTTCTTTTTCTTGGTTAAATTTATTCTGAGATATTTATTTATTTTTGTATAAATTACACAATACGATTGCTTCCTTTCTTCCTTCCTTCCTTCCTTCCTTCCTTTCTTTTTCAGCAAATTTGTCAATGGCATATCAAAATGCTACTGTTTTTGTATGTTGGTTTTGTACTCTACAACTTTATCAAATTTGTTTGTTATAACAGTTTTTAATGGAGTTTTTCTATATCAAAAATATCCACAGGAATGATTTGGCTTCCTCCTTTCCAGTTTGGATACGCTCTCTGCATTTCTCTGTCTATCTCTGTCTCTCTCTCTCTCTCTCTCTCTATTCTTGTTTCTGTCTGTCTGTCTCTCTCGCTCTCTCTCTTTTTCTGTCTTTTCTTTCCTTTTTGCTGATCCTGGGGCTTGAACCCAAAGGCCTGGGCCTTGTCGCACTACCACTTGAGCCACAGCTCCACTTAGAATTTTGGTGGTTAATTGGAGATAAGTCTCTCATGGATATTTTTGTAGGGGCTGGCTTGGAACCACAATCCTGAGATCTCACCCTCCTGAGTAGCTAGGATTACAGGCATGAGCCACCAGTGCCCTTACCTTGTATTTCTTTCTCTTCCATAATTGCTCTTGCTCAGACTTCTAAAACCATGTTAAATAACAGGTGTTTCTAGATATCTTTTTCTTATTCCAGATTTAGAGAAAATACTTTTTTTTCCTTCATTCAGTGTGATGATGTACTTTATTGAGAGTTTTTATCATAAAGTAATGCTTTTTTTTTTTTTTGCTTATGTGGTGCTGAGGAATCAAACCCAGGGCCTCTGGCATGCAAGGCAAGCGCTCTACCACTGAGCCACCTTCCCAGCCCCATCATAAAGTAATGTTATATGGGAGTTGTATAGTTTGTAGGCCATTACACTCTAAGTGTTTATGATTATTGTATATGTGTTATAGACCATTTCAGTAAACAGGAAAGTAAATTAGAGGGAATTTATAGAAAAAAAGAAAATTGATAATACATTTCTGAAAGCTAATCACTATTACTAATGATCAGGGAAGTGC